CGGATGGGAACTGCCTTCCCTGTGGCTAGAATGCGAAACCGCACGTGTCTTCACAACCCCGCTCTGTGGGCTCAGAAACAATTTGTGCAAGCACCCAAGCTCTCATGGCCGGATCGCCTTCAAGTGACTTGTCATGCAACATCGGAGCAAGTGAAAATTGGGGAACAATTATGAAACAAACTCTTGAATATTTCAATTACATTCCCTCTCTTTTTTCCTTGTAAATCCTTCTCTGATACTAGTTATATATATATATATTTATTGTGTTGTAATGGCATGATTAAGACACACTGAAAACGAGCTTGTTGGCCAATTTGTGTTCTCATCATGAGCTCTATGGGACCTTTTAAACATTTGAAACAAGCCAAAGATCCCTAATTTATTTGAAGAAACATCCTGAACTAACATTGTAGTCGAACTGGCTGTCATTAATTTACTTGGTAAATAAGGAAGCAGGCTATCTCTCTCGTGCGTTAGCAGTGTCCCAAACTACTCTCATATAATCTACCATCAAACGAAAGTAAAATATAATCACATAAAATGACTAAATTTACATCATTTTCGACTATTTCTACGGTTAGCTGGAATTTTTTGGTAACATTTGCCACATCGTAATCCTGGAGAATGAAGGAAACTTGCTCACCAAACTTCCCAGGCTTGGGTTGCTCTCCTGAAGGGCTTTGGAGTATAGGTTCACGCAAAACTGGTTTCATTCGTGCTTATTTAATCCATTTATTCATAAGCATCATGTTGATTTTCACAAGAAGCAAACTCGATCATTTTTGGTGAACCAGTTTACTTAGGGCCTCATTATATCGTATTCAATCGCATCGAAAACAAATTAATACCAGTAATTTTTAAAACCTCAACGAAAACGTGATCTCTCTTTGTTCTACACATCCAATTCATGAATCGGTAAATACTTGATCTCCCCTACGCAGTCAGAGGTTTAGAGCTATGTGGTTTTCAATCATTTCGGTCGGCATAAAATTAGCATGCCAAATCAGTATTAGATAATTTCCCCGAGCACATTGAGTCTAATGGACGGTGATGACCAAGTAGTTAGATTACCAAATTGTGACCCAAGAGTCCCGGATTCGAATCGCTCCATCGCCGCATGTCTCCGCCGTTTCTGTATTTTTCCAAGCACCCTTTATAAGGACGCAGTTCCCTTCCTGAAAGTTGACCGTACACTTGCATATTCAATAAAATAAACAGGAAGCCAAAATTAAATTTAAATTTTTTATGTATCAACCTGACCGTGATCCCTGCCATTGGCGAATTCTTTCTCCTCAAAAGGAACCATCGCGTTCAACTGATTTGTGACTCCCTGAAAAAACTACTTCGAATTAGGGGACAATAATGGCTTGGTGTGAATATCACTTTTGATAAAAATTCAACTATATTCCATCAAATATCTATTACATGAACCGAGAACACACTGCAAATGGGTATTTCAATAGAGCAGCTAGAAGGGTGTGATAAGCTACAGATTGTCAGCTTTTAATGAAGATTTGGGATAGAAGCTCTTTGGAAATTCCCAATAATGTACAATCCCTCAATCCTTTATAATTCAGAAAAATTCTTTATTCCATTTGGGCACTTTCAGTCAACTCTGATAATTGGGCACATCTGATGCTTTCGGTTACTTCATCCTGTGTATTGCTGGTCTAATTGTGCACCACCGAGCAGTGGCCATATCCCTGACAAACAATCTACCAGGAAAGCCTTTCCATTGTTGCTCGTCTACTAAAGATTATTTGTTTTGATGAAACCTTCTAAGTACAAATCTATGAATTACCATGATTTTCACTTTTAGCTGGTGCAGAATAGAGGTTTAAAAAACGATACTACTTGTGAGCGCTTTGCTCTCATCTCTTCCTCAAGCGGTGAATAATTATATATGCACAGATATACATGAGCACAGGTCTGATAATGTGGTATGCAGTACATACAAATTTCAGTGCTATTCTTCTAACCCCTAGATTTCGTCCTCTCAAATGAAGTGTAACGGCAATGATTATGAGTTGTTGAAAACAATTATTCTCTCGAAATTGTGTTCTAAATAAGTATCTCATTAACAACTATATTTCGGATCAGTTGTACTCGTTTACGGTCTTGATACCCTTTATGTATTTTCAAGTAAATGCCAATAAACCACTTATGAGGAAGAATTTATATTAGTTAATATAACAATGAGAAAAAATAATTATCCGGTCAACTTCTTCCGTAACACTTTCTGATGTATGATGCCTTCCAAATGTGAGGTGCGGAACAATCGTTGAATCTCGGGGGGAGAAATGAGGGGCGGAATAAGGAATAAGAAATATTATTTCTCATATGTATACATCAACGTGGATTAAAAATCATCTATTTATTAGTGTAACATGTAGATTGTTTTAGATATATCAAAATCTTGCCTAGTAATTGCTTTAAATGAACAGTAATCCATCTATTAGGTCCGCAATATGTTACACATTCCTTGTTTTCAAACGAACCGCTGAATTTTTATGAAGTTCAATAAAATTAATTTTACGAGTTACGCATGTGCCGTTACCTTTTTGTGCACAGAAAACCGGTACCTGTGAAGGATGCTCGCAAAATACCGGTGGACATAATTGTGAAAAATGCCGTGAGGGTTTCTATGGTGACCCACTGCGTGGAACCCCGTGTAAACCGTGCTCATGTCCTGGTGGTGGAGTTAATCATGCCACGGAATGTCGAATGGGTTCTTTGCAGGAACAAATCTGTTATTGTAAACCTGGTTATACGGGTAAGTGCTGTATGCTGCTTCGCATTCGTTGTTTGGACTGCCGTTGTTTTCACTTTCACCGCTTTGACCAAGACACACACACAAACGATTTGTTATGACCTGCATGTTTTACGATTGAACATTGATCTTCTTAGTCCAGTTGGTTCGAGAGATACGTTATGGCGACTTGAGCATTATTTTAACAACAATCCGGGACTCGTACGAATTCATATGCTGAAATGATTCTTGTAACAATGTCCTGAAGAGCCATTTTGCTCATCGTCAGTTGTGACCGGACGTGCATTTTGCCCAAGATTAAGTCTGTTAAAAGCAGTAAATATACCTTGTTCTTACCGTAATTAAGAACAATAATCAATATCCTCCTGTTGTCATATGAAATAACAAGTTGGAGAAATAAACTTTTCGATGAATTCGTTGTGTGGACGACACAATAATCTACTTCACGTTTGCTACTGTGGTGGTGGCGCGGTGGTTTATTTGCTGTCACCAGCATGCTTTAGACCTTGTGTTCTGAGGTTCTGATCTCGCCACCACCACCCAAATTTGATGGTAGTCAGATTTGCTGTCGCCCGGTTCTCTACCACGTCTGAGCTAGCGGGGCCTTATGTGGTTAGCTACACCAATCCCCGGGACTTAAGTTGCCGGTTGTCATCACTGAATAGTAGGTTTTTGTGATCATGAGGTCCGTCCCTTCTGCTATTCATCACACACTGGTGTGTAACAAAATAAACTAGGAAGTAGTAGGCCTACGGTGCTTCGTTTGCTCTACACATGACGCAGTTCACTTTTATTCGAATCAAATTCCCCACTCATCGCCTGCTACCATTAGTGATTTAAATGGATCAATGTATACTCGGGGTTACCTGTACATTGAACAGTTTTTATAGACTGGTTATTGAAACAAGAAAATTGGGGTGTGCAGACTGGTATCGCTATGCGATTGTGTGGTGATTCACCATTCGCGAATTTCGAGCGGCTTCATTCAAGGTTCTTTTTATTCATCAGTTTTCTGCCGATGAATGAAAGTGAATGTTCAGAGAAAATTTCTAAATTTCAATTAATTTGCAAAATGGTAGAAATGCTGTTTTGGAACACAAAGCAATTAAGCGTTTTGTAAGCATATTGTTAGTCTTAGAGAAAGTAATATTTGGATTAGTTCATTCAGCTTTCACAGGCACCAAGCAGTGTGAATGAACGTATTTTGTACTTGAAGTTTGCTCCTTGCGAGTACATTTATTTGCAATGTGATTATTACTTCATTATTAGCAAAGATCTCTAGACTACTTGTTTGTCCCTGTTTGGGAGTATCAGCAATAGGCCTCGGCACCACAGTTGAAAGTCCGCTGTTCCAGTCCCACCCGTGTCAATCACTGCTAAAGAGTCCCAACCAGGAGGAAACAACTATTTAGTTCTGTTTGTCGACTATTAAACACACATCTCATCAAAAATATATCAACGGTCTTGTTTGAGTAATTTGCTGTATTATTATTTTCTGTCAGTGTAAATCAACACTATGTTTTTCGTAGAAAGTGATATTGAACAACATCTTGATTACTGAAATGTTTTTATTGCCTTCCTATGACTCTCAACCTTTTAAACTGAAATATTTGTTTTGGGTGTGTTGGGTGGGAGGAGGATGAACTTCATTCTCGAGGTAATCTCTCGTTTCTGTTGCCTTTTTTCAATTCATCTCACCAGGTGCTCGGTGTAGTGAGTGTGCCATAAACCATTACGGCAATCCCACGGAACTTGGCGGTGCCTGTCGACCGTGCCAGTGTTCTGGGAATATCGCGCCAAACGAACCGGGCGGTTGTGATCCCGTCACCGGTAGATGTCTGAAGTGTTTGCACAACTCTGAGGGTTACAATTGTGAAATAGTAAGACTAAGCGCTATATAATAGCAATATAATCGTTACACAATTGCATAATTATTTATGACTTAACTTGTTTCCCCATTTCATTTTTGTGCAGAATAATGATAAATAGAGCTGTGAACGATGTTTCACTGTCTACTTGTTATCGACTATCTGCAAAAGCATATTCGGCGGAGGATTTCGTGAGTCGCATAAGCAAACAAAACAGGACAATCTGATATCTGAGACATTATGTACCCGGTAGAAAAGCCAATATAAAACACAACATCGCAAAACTCCGTGGTAGATTTCGAAATTCGATTCATTGCATTTCAGCATCACTTACTGCAGAAAAACAATGGTGCACTAGAGGTTGCACTGAGGGAAACAGTTTGAAATATTGCTGAGGTAGAGTCAAGGTAAAATAAAATTCTTTCTGTTCCCACCGATTTGGTCTCCATCAGTTGACCGCTATCGCCTCCGCCCGTTGCTGTACCTACGAGCATTTAACCAAATAGATAATGCTGAATGATTAATAGCCATCAACCTGGTGACTTTTTGCTAATATTCATCTCCCGATTGATGACTCAGGAGTTTAGTGTATTTCATTCCTGTTTGGCTGTAATTACTCAGTATTCATTGTGCTAAAATTGGGCTTAAGCCATTACGGAATATGCTCGGACGTTCGGTTATGTAACTGTCTCTCTGTTCCGTCGATGTACATAGTTTACTACCCATAGTCGAAGTGATAGATGACGTTTGGTGTGGTAAGGAGAGGGAGGTAAGTTTTACTGGTTGCTTAGATAAACGAGTTGTCTTGGAATGTGAGATTAGAAAGACGGCTAAGCAAATGCGAGTAACAATCGAATTAAGTCCATTTCCGTAGTTTAATTGGCGCCCTTGTACGATTGATCAGAGCTGACCACGAGTTTTTCTTCTGATGCAACCAGGCTTCCTATCCGCGCTTATTCGCTGTAACTCCGAGTAAACTCAGAAAGACTGGTTTCCGATGTGTTGTAGCCCAGTGGTTCTTAGGTGTGCATATTTCTCCAGCAACATCTATGAGCATTTGAACAAATCCACATTTGTGCTGGATGAAGGCAAAACTGTGAAATCTAGGTATTGTCCAATGCTTGTTGATCTCCGATTCACTGATTTGGAACCTGTACCTACCGATACGCGATAAATACATTCATCTAAGTATGGTAGTCGGTTATCCGATGCGTTCTCTAATGTAAATTGTATTTTTAATGTAATCCATTCAAATGGCTGCAGAGTTTTTCCGTTTCAAGCGCATTTGTATTGCTGACTACTGTGTCGTCAACGTAACCTCCAGTTTAGTTCAGCCTTATTTCCTAGACGGGCTATCACTCAGTCTATTGGACATAATTTGTACTTGTATTTGTATCACTTGTGTAAGCATGTATGCTTACATTTCAGTTAAAAATATACACTGTTCATCACGCAGCATGAAGTAATAATAATAAAATCGAAAGGTAAAGAACGTCGGTGATATTTGTTTCATGTGCAAAAGTTTTCACGTAAATCATTTGAGTCCTGTTTCTTTTTGGTAAGTAGTCGGGCCAGTTAGGTTACAGGGAAGTTTTTATAAATGTTAATGCGAGGGAGTAGATTTCAAAATGGAGAACGTGTGGACGGAGGGGAACGACTAGACGATAGATCAGGGTGTAGTGGAAGGAATTGGGTCATCTAAAATCTTATTAGTAAATTTAAAACAAGAGTTGATGTGAACATCAATGAGATCTGTGATTAATAAATCGATTGGGATTAATGATGCACGACTGATGATCACCAAACCACGGCGAATTGTGTTCAAGTCTTGTTTTAAAAGACCGGGGAACAATATCGTAGAATGAGTAAAACGCATTGAATAATGAAGGATGACAGGACTGACTGTGGGGTTCGGAATTGCCTGAGTTTGCGTAACTGAGAAGATAGGCGTCTCAGTTTTCCCATACAGCTGAAGATATATGTAAGCAAACGAAGTTTACCGTCGATGGTGATACCCAAGGTACTTGACTGAGGTCATTCTGGATACAGGTTTACCGTTAAGCGTGGCAGGGTCCGTTGTTAATGAGGAGCGGGAACGACTGAAAATGCACTCTACGCACTTAGATATGTTAAGACTGAGACCAGATTGGTCGGAAAACTGTTGGATGTCGGATAGGTTTTCAGTAAAAGAATGAGATTCCGAAGGAAATGAAACTATCTGACACAAAACAACGTCATTAGCATACTTCTGGATGTGCCAGGGGGTGTGACCGAAAGATCACTTATAAAGGCAGAGAAAAGATATGAAGATAGAACAGCACCTTGAAGAACACCAGAATTATTAACAAGAGGTTTTAATGTCCTCCTTCCTAATTTGGTGCACTGGATCCTCTGTGTGAAATAGTCAACAAGCTATGACAGCAGTTGTTTTGGAGTGCCAAAAGATTCAAGTTTGAAAAGAAGGGATGATCGGGAAACAGAATCAAACGCGGACGAATAGTCAAGAAAAATCACAACGGACAGACTTGATCGAATTCTTCAATAACTTGCTGATAAAATGCACTAGAGTGGACAGGGCATCCAATGTAGATCTGTTTGGTTTATATGCAAACTGAAGGAGGTCTTGAGGAATGGTGGTATCTGACTGCATCCGACTCAGGATGGCTTTTTCCGTTAACTATAGAGCCGCTGAGATCAGCGGGATAGGACAAAACCGCTTCTGAAGAACAGTTGAGGACTTGGATTTGGGGATCGGAATAATGGTCATTGGACACCAAGAATCAGGAATCGACTGGGAAGATAGGGACTCATTGATGACGGATGTCATCATATTGGTTAGGGAAGCTGTCCCAAATTTCAGACGTGCGGGAGGAAGACCATCAGGGCCTGCAGCTGAAGATGCTTTACAGGATTGAGGAAGCTTAAAGATTAAACCATTGGAAAAGGGCACTGAACTGGATTCATTGCATAGGAATGAGGGAATCTCTCTATCGCTCTCATTTGACGGGTGGGTGAAAGCGGCGTTAAGACTGTTGACATCCACAGAGGTATTAGAATGTTTTCTGTTCTGCCCACAGAGAAGACGAATATCTTGCCATAAAAGCCTGATGTGCCTTGTTCACAAAATTTAGGAGGCGAAGATTGCATTTAGGTGCGAAATCTCGAACCTGATTAAATCAGAATAGTGCTTTACAGTTACTGCATGGCGAGATTTGTAGGCCATTTCTTTGTACCAGCTCAGCGACTTCAAAAAGGGTGGGGTAATTCTACCGTTACAGACAGGATTTTCATTGTACAACACAAGTTAAAGAGCGATTTAATCGTTTCAGTGAACAGATTGACACATTTAAAAAGCGAAGGACAAGAACAAACCAAGAATAAACAATCGCAATAGAACGATTGAGAAGAGCGACACGGTTGGGTGAAAAGTCCTTTAGATGAAACTTTATCTGAGTAGAACGTATGAATGCTTGATAGGCAGTGCGAGAGTATACTTTTGGTCTAACAAATAGAATACTATGATCACTGGTAGAAACCGGGGCCATCAGTTTGAGAGAGAATAAGTTGGGGTGGTTTGTAGTCACTCTGTCCAGCACAGAACTACCTCTGGTGGGAGAATGTGAAAGGTCAGACAGACCAAACGGAAGCAGGGGAGAAGTGCTTGTATGATTGAAATCACCAACAAATAAGTGAAAATTTTTATCTTTAAATCGGACACTAAGGTTTTCTTATCGATACGCCAACACCAAGTGCATCAGTGTTTCCCCTGTAGTAAAAGGCAACATTCGAAGTGTGTTGTAGCCACAGTTCTTCCGGAATCACAATTTGTGTTCTTTTATTAAATTCAATATTGGTCATCTTATTCACCGTAATTGTTTGGCCTCTAGTTCACTCTGTTCTGTATCCTAATACTCTGCTTTTATTGTGGTTGTTGTATTGGAACCAAGCTTGTTTGTAAGCCAGCAATAAATATATACACACATATAAAAGTTATTGTGCAAATTTGATCGACAATACTTTCTGACATAAACCCGCATATCCTCACTCTTTTGATCCCTTGTTTGGCATCACAATTACCCAAAAATGACGAAACAAACGCAGTTTAAATTTCTTTCTCACGATAAGCTTTGATTAAAAGCTATATTTCCCTACTGGACATGAATCCTCATCAACAAGAGCAGATTCCGACGTAATATGTAAGGTAGCTTGGTGTTTATAACTGGTTATCATAAAAACATTTATCTTTGGATAACTGTCTATGTTTTCCATAGTGAAGAAATTAACACATCTATTGCTTCCAGATAATTAAATACAACTAGATTGTAATAATACATTTTTAAAACGCATTTATTTTGAAGGCAGAAGTAAAATGATTATTAAGCAAGGTCTGTGGGAAACCACTAGGAGTAAAAATAAGATAACAGCCGCCGCCGTTTCAAACGCATGAAATAGCAAATAATTGTCTGAACGACGTCTTTCGACCACCGTCCCAGCCTCCAGGATCTCCATATACCTGGTTTGGGCAATATATTTCATTGTCAATAATTGGAGGGACTTATAAACCAGGATCCCTTAACAGGGTTTGGGGCTGCTAATAAGAATTACGGTGTAAACCATTTCCCTCAAAAAGCATTTCCAAAATTACAGTGGTTAGCCAACGTGTTCATCAACACAACCCGTATTTGACTAACCATGCAGCCCACTTACATAAAATTTATCTGTTTGGGTTTTCATAATTCGCAGTGACAGAATAAAACAGTTGTATTATATTTATCGATAATTCTTTAGTTTTTCCTTCTTAACTGTTCGGAATTCTTTGCTGTCTTAAAAACGCTGTCTCTTTCCCACCTCACTGTATTCGTGTTCACAATAATAAATTGTTGGGCCTTTTTCACAGTGCAAACTCGGATTCTGGGGTGACGCAACTCGGCAGATGTGTCAACCATGCAACTGTTTTCCACCGGGCACAGTGGACGAAGGTAAAATGGGTTGCAATCGAGAGAACGGACAATGCCCGTGTTTACCAAATGTGATTGGCGCCAGGTGCTATGAGTGTACACCGGGGTTCTTCAATTTGACATCCGGTCGAGGCTGTGAACCGTGCCAATGTGATCCGACCGGGTCAATCGACCAACTTTGCGATCCGGTAAACCGAGACACGTTTTTGGTGTACAGTTTTATGACCGAACAGGGCTATGTGCGTCGACTAGTCAGGACTTAGATTCTTGTGTACATTGATAGCTTGCTCAGCCAGTTTATCATGCGATTCTATTCCTGCTCGCCAATAACGGAAGTTCAACACTTGCGCTGGTAGAATTGATGTGCAAATTAAGTGGCTCGCATCATGGGTAACGCCAAAACGAGGCAACCGTCGAAGTAGACAAGCAGATTGTGAGTGAAACCAATTTTCAAGATAAAATTACGCACCAAAGTTTGAAGGGTTTGTAAAATCTTGTTAGGTGAGTTTTACTTTTCATGAACTTCCGTGCGGGGGAACGATTCTCGTTCATGACGAGTTGGAATATAAATTTTGTCTTAACCATGTCCAGCCGAGTCTACATTACCTGCATCCGGATGTCATGAAATACATCTAAAACTAACTAAAATTTTACTTATCGTCTATTATCTGATGCTTTGAAATGATACACCAGTGTAGTAATTCACAGAAAATTCGGTAAATAGTAATTACGAACCGTGGAAATACACTTATTCCTTGAGTGAAACGTTTCTCTATTTTTTCTTAATAATGCAGACAACTCTTCACTCTTGAAAAGCTTTTGTCATTGGTGAAATAAGCATGTTTATTATCTGGCGTTTGATCTACAATCATCTTACACACACGTACCTATATCTATCAGTTTGTTCTATTTCATGTGCCGGCTATCGCTCCGGATGTTATGGTTTTCTATTTGATAAACAAAACACGCAAGCGCACACACGGGCCTGGCTCAGGATAGCAC